ACTGTAAACCCGCTGTTCCCTCGTCTGTTCACTCCACAGACATTTACTGCATGCTACTCTTTCGTAGGCCTGTTCTGAGTGCTAGCGACACTGAGATGAAAGCCCAGCCTCTCCGGGGGCTGGTGGTAACTGAGGAACACACAGGGCCGTGGAACGACTTAATATTCTTAGGAATCAGAAGCCTTGGAAGTGTTTGTCGGCTGAGGGGTAAGAACGATGAAGAGAAAAACAGGCATTACCCCAGTGTGCCTAAGAGGAAATGAACCAGGATGACTTCGTACTCCAAAGGGAGAGATGTTACCCGGATGTTCAGAGGCAGAAAGAAAGAACCCTGCAGGAGGTCACAGTGAGGGAGGAAAGTTAGGGCCCCCGCAGAGCAAGGGAGTCTGCAAGTTAGGTGTTGAGCACAGGGGACTCCTTGGAGGTGTGACCGGCTCCCTGGCGGATGCAAGGAGACAGCTGTGTACCAGGCAGGACCTAAGTGTGCCGAGAACCATGAATTTGTAACAAGACCAGTTGACACAGTTGATGTGTTTTCTGCCAGCGCGTAAACGTTAAGACACCTGTAGCCTCTCTTTGGACTGACCCTCCAGCTCTTCTAATTAGAAGGACATTTGTCTGTAAGAACTAAAATCCTTGGGCCAGGCTGGGGATGTAGCAGAGCAGCACAAGCGCCTGCCTGGCAAGCGCAAGGTCCTGCGTTCGATTCCTGGTACAAAAAAAAAAATGTGGGCCAGAGCTTTCACATTCTGTGAAATTCCTGGCTAACTTAGATCTAGAGGCTTCCAAGGGCACAGGCAGGGATTTAGCTACAACTTGCTAGCCGTCTCCCTTGAAGGAAGGATGCCACGGTGCCCAGCCCACACAGAACACCTGCCCCATCCGTTCCCAGTGGTTTAGTTTCAGGCTAACAGGTTTTCCCTAAGTTTGTGGCTGCTCTGTGAGGATTCTTGCTTGCGAGTGACAAAAATGAGCTGCAAGTTAAGCAGTAAAGCCTTATCAGGGTCTTAGGGAGCTCACAGCTCCCGCTGAAGGGTTAGACTCACAGAAGTGGAGACTAGACACCAGCAGGCCAGGCAAAAGAGGGTCCCCAAAACCTGTGGCAGGGACACTCTAGGAGTAAAAGCAACGCTGCTGCACTGATGGCAGGGCTGCTGTTGGCATCTCTGCCCGGCAATGGTCCCTGAAAGCTCCTGCCGAGCCCTCTGCCTCTGCTGTCTCTGCATTCACTCTCTCTGACCCATCCCAGCGTGGATTCTCCTTGGCTTTGCTTCTTGGCGTAGCTGGCTTCCAATTCAGAGCCTGCAATGGGTGGTCTCACGGCAGGGTATAGCTCAGTTGCTACCAGCTGAGCTTCAGAACACACCAGAAAAAGGAGGGTGTGCCGTTTTATTTACTGCAGTGGACATGGGCTCTGGTGGAAGTTGGAATGGCGGTGGGCACAAAGAGTGAACGGTGTCCGTCACACTGCCGCAAAGCGTAGGAGTAAATGCTTCAGCCCTGCGCTATTGCGAGGAAGTGGGCTGAAGGCGGTAGACGTGAGTTTCTCTCTGGTTCCTCTGATCGGACAGTCTGAGCCATTTGTGCTGAAGGTTGAAAGCTTTTGAACTTTTGCATGTATGTTTCTCACAAAGATTCAAGGAACAAGAATGTGAAGAGGAGCATTTCATCATGTTCCACTGTTACGGGCGTTCCGCAAGTAGATGGCTAGGCATTAAAGGCTTCTATTCTCCTGTGAGTCTTCAGTGCTTTACAGGTTGCCTAGAAAACAGTGCGCCCTTGGGAACTGTTTGTAGAACGCATTAATGAGTGCTTGTTGAACAGAATAGTGCTCTCCTTACCTGCGGATCCCTTGAAACTATAGATGTACCAAGCTGTAGATATACTGTGCTTCTTTTCCTATACATGCACACAAAGTTACCTTTCAACTAAGGGTGCCACGCGCTAGGGCTAAAACTTGAGCAGTTTGAGGTGTAACAGCAGAACTAGCATGAATTTCCTTCATAATTTTCACAGATGGAAGATCCATTACTCTAGGTCTTAACAACCTCGGCACACGCCTTTGTTCTTTTCTTTCCGTCTGAAGCTGGGAATTTTCATCTTTTCACGTAAAAGCAGCACTTCCCGTTTTCTGTGTGACATATCTGAGCTGGCAGCATGACTACTCCTAAGCTTTGGGGCCATCAAGTAAAATAAGGCTTATGGGAACGGAAGTACTGCCGCCCTGCTGTGATCCGGCTATAACGAAGGCGGCAACTAAGTGATAAGCCGGCAGGTGGTGCGTGCGGTGTGGAGAGGAGTCACATCTCGGGAGACGCAGAGCAGTGAGATTCCACCACACTGTCAGCCGGCACACAGCATTAAAACTCATCTTCAGTAAGTTTATTTTTCTGACTTCTCCATGTCGTATAGTATCTTTGGACTTCAGTTGATAGTAGGTGTTTGAAATGGTGCAAAGAAAACTACAGGTAAGGGAGGACCGCTGAGTGTATTCTCTCACACGTGTGCCGGGAGTGTCATTTGTGTCGCACACTCTACGGAGCGCTGTTCGCAGGGTCAGAGTGCTTTGCCTTAATAGTAAAGAAGTAGTGAGGAACGGGCAGGGCTGGCAAGTAAGAATCAGAGCATGAGAATTAGGATGTGGACTGAAGACGTGCCGCACGGGGAGGAGGTACGCTGAGTCGGAGTCAGGTCCCGAGCTTTGATGGGGATTGTGGCCGCCCAGGGTGGAAAGGGCTGCGCTGGGGAGACGGTGGCTGGGGGTGTGTGGGCCCGGCGCCTGCGGGCGCTGGAGCGCGCGGCTGTGCTCGGCGTTCGCGCTCTGCCGACCCTGGCGTTTCTCAGCTCGTTGTGGGGAAGTTGTGTGCACGCCGGCCGTTCTCCGAGTTACTCCAGTGCAGACAGGTGTAGCAAGCCCTGCGGCGTCCTGTGCTTGGAAAGCTCTGAGAACAGTGCCGGACACATGGTAAGTGCTCCACAGCCATTTACCGAGTGAATACAAAGGAAAAGGTGTCAGGGATTGCGTTTGAGCCAGGTGGAGCCGAAAGCTGGATGTACCCTTTTACCTTTGGAGCTCTGTCTTTCCGCAGGCAGCGTCACCCGCGTTGCATGGGTCAGGTGCGGTCCCGTTCTCGGCCACCCTCCGCCCTAGAGCGGCTCCTCGTGAACGGAGCTCTCTGCCTACAGCAGGCCGGCATCTGGGCTCCCTGCATTACTCTGATCTTGATCCAGTAGCCCCTGTTTTGTGACTGCTGACGTTACTTTAAAAATACACACACACACACACACACACACACACACACAGGTTTTTAGCTGTCCTCAGTGACAGAGATGACCCTGTGTGTCTCCTGTCACGATTGGAAATGGAAATTCTAGTTCATGGGCTGCAGAGGACCTGGACAAGACCCCCAACTGCCTGTACGAGGGGTCCGGCGAAGCATGAAGAAAACACAGTGTTCGTAACGCACAGATGGGGCTGGCGGGCGGTCAGTGGCTCAGGATGGCAGAGACAAAGACCCCTTTGGTTGGCCCGCTTTCCTTTGTCTATGAGAAGTGCAGGGCGAGGGGCAGGGGGCCTTACCTGGAACAGCGATGAAGTAGTGGTGGAACGCGCGAGTTTAACATGGGTAAAGAAGTGAAGATCCTTCCCCACCCCAGGGTGCTGGTGCCCCCCCTGTGTGGTCCGCAGCAGACCCCATCCTGCCCTGTGAGCTCCACAGCCCCGTTAATCATCAAGATCTCAGGACGGCCTCAGACATCTGCTACACTCAGTTCATAGTTTGTGGTCCCCAACAATGGGCTTGATGCACTTTGAATCGTACCTTCATGAGAATCTACAAAGGAAACCAGTGAGGTCTTCTCTGCTGAACAGATACCGAATATGGGGCACAGAGAGCATGAGCATAGGTTGTTTTTGTCCTGGGTCATGAAGCTGCTACGCAATGGAACCGGAACTTGAACCCGTGAAGTTGACTTTCAGAGCTTGTGTTTCCTTTCGTAATGCAGGGCAGGACTGGGGATGTAGCTCAGAGGCACAGGGCCTGCTCGGCAAGTGCAAGGTCGTGAGTTCGATTCCCGGTACACAAAAACAAAACAAAACAAAGCAAAGGATGTAGTGCGGGGCGGCTGCTTTATCATCAGAAGTGTTCTCTGAAAGGTCAACCAAGCCTTCCCCTGTATGTGCATTCCTTCCATCTCAGCATACTGTCCGGCAAAAGCCTGGCTATATAGAATTTAGATACAGCATATCCTGCACCTTTTGAATTGACCATGTGACATGGGCAGATTTGGTATCAATTCTCCCGAGTTTTGTAGATTTGGGTGTTTTTAACTTCATGAACATTTCAGTTCAAATCCTTTGTATTTTGCCAAAATTGCCTACATTGTTTCATTTAGTTAAGGTTTGCAGGGGTGAAATATAGACATTTAGTAACTGTCTAACATCTAAGACAGAAATAGAAATTTTTAAATCTGGAATCTTTAACTTTGGAAAATGACATCCGTGATTAAAACTCCAAAACTTCCATTTACAGTGCAGCCTGGTGACACATGCTTGTAATCCTGGCACTCAGGAGGCTGAGGCAGGAGGATCCACACAAGTTTGAGGCCAACCTGAACTGCGTATCAGGCCCCTGTCGAAAAGATTTTTTTTTTTTTTTTCATTTGTGTACACTTATGAGTCAAAAAGTCCTTTGAATTGTGCCCAAAACAAGAGATTTTTTATGCACCTTAAATGGCCCAAAAGGCCGTCAGGACAACCAAGGGGCGGCAGAGCACTCGGGGAATCCACTGCAATCCCCAGCACTCCGCTGGAGCCCAGCACCCACGAGTCACCGCCTCGAGGAGTAGTGTCGCCGCTTCGGTGCCATTTTAAGCAAGGGTGTCTCTTCGTCAGATCCAGCCAGTTGGTTTTTATTTTTTCCCTTTTTTTTAAAAAAAAACTTTTTTTTCTGCCTTTGGGAAAACTGAAGTTCTAATATATATTCTCCTTTCTTTTACAGAGAAAAAGGCAAGCATATGAATCTAACCTCATCTGCAAAGGGCTGCAGCTAGAAGCAACAAGATCAGTAAGTGTTCGTCCCTTACTCCCCTGGGGTGGCTTGTTCCTGCAGATTGGAGGGCTGTTCGGAGTCTGTGGACGACGCGGGAAACATCAGCCTGGCCACGCCGCAGTCTCGGCTGGGAGGGGAGTCGCTCAAAATCTGCATTCTGTAGACTGTCATCGTTTCTTCCAGGAGCCCAAGGATTTACTAATAAAGGCATAGATGAGTGGTTGTTTTCTTCCTTTAAAAGCCTTGTAAAAGAAGCTGGGAATATAGCTCAGCGGCATAGTGCCTGGCTAGCAAGTGCAAGGTCATGAGTTCAATTCCCGGCATCCAAAAAAATGAAGATTCTGATTCTTTG